TTGAGTATGCAGAGGGTTTTATTTACACCACAATATTGAGTTTGCTATCTCAGTCAATTTTAGCTTTTTCCTTTCATGCCTCAGTGCAGTGTTGCTAAAATGACAATAAAGCAAGACATTGCAGGCAGGGCTGTGGGATCCGTAAACAGAATCTGTTCATAAGAAATATTATTAAATGCTATCAAGCTTCTGACTGTCATAATAAATACATTCCGAGGCATTTGAAGGGGCAGGTTGAGTGCAATGTAGGTGATCTGACTGGATTATGAAGAGAACTGTGGATGACGAGATAACTGAATAGAAAAAAGACTAATGGATAGTGATGGAGCAATATGGTGTGGGTCACAGCCCAGGACCTGCACTGCTGATATGCAGCAGAGCTGCCGGCAGAGATTTTGGATTTTCTCGGCAGGCACCTTGTCCCCATTCGGCACCCCGCTGAGCAGCCTCACTGGTCCACTAATCATGGACTGAACACCCCGCCACGCACCCTGACACACGCATTAAAAAATGAAAGATTGTGAGAGGCATGTCATTTATTCCACTGGGAATAGAAACTGGGTATTTGTCCATAAGACAATGTTCTGGAGTCACTGGCCAAACAAGACATGAAATGAAAAGGCATATGGTATAAAAAAAACAGTTCTCTGTATAACATTAAGTTTTACCTAAACGTTATGCATCAAGATAGTGCAACATTTCTCTGGGAAAAGGCAACATCCATGAATATTAGAAAAAAGGTGAGATGCTGATAAAGGTCTTTCCAAGAGCTACAGTTTCCACTACAAAAATATTTTCAAGAGACAGTCAAGAAAGAGTATATGATCTGACAGGGAGAAAAGCAAAAAAGGTGCTATTTTTGTCTCCTCAAAGACTGGTTGTAATTACAACAGTTGAGAAAAAAGCAGATTCCTGGCTTGTCTCTTTTCCCTCTGTAATATTTCCATCATTGTTTGACATTTTTTTGATTCAGTAAAAATCTGAAAAGCCCTCAACCACTGTGGGTTTTAGGATTAGAAAAGGAAAGGCTATTCTTGTTCAGCCTGAAGCCTATGGTATGGGGAACTACCAAGAGTTCAGTATGCTGCTTTGGCAGATATATAACCCTGCTCACAGCTAATGGCATGTTCTGCTCCTTTTGGCACAAAGGTGAGCATCAGAAAATACTTGGGATATGATCTTGAGTTCAACATAGCACAAAACACACTTTTTAAGTTTGTGCTCACATAACTCCTGCAGCTTCCTCCAGCATAAATATCAGACATAAACCTTTGGGCTGCTCTGTTTTCCATTGGTTATCCATAGACCAGTGGGCCCCATAGACTGAGACAGCAAATGCTTAGGAAATCGTAACTGTGTTATCTTATCTTCATTTATCTTTTTTATGTCTGAAACTTTAAGGTAGCCAGTGTCCTGGAAACCCTGCCCTTTGCTGCAGTAGCACAGAGCAGCCATAGGGAACCAGAAGGGTGGACTGGTTGCTTTGATACTCCAGCCACCTTCAGTAACGATGCGAAAAGCTGGTGAAGATCATTACTACAATTATATGAATGAAGCTAGAGATTGGACTTGGTCAACACAACTGAAGCACAGTCTTTGGTTGGTGAAATGAAGCTGTTTCTACCAGTATTTGTATTCTTTTCCTTATTACACAGGTGTTAGCATCTCTAATTGGTTTGATATCTTTAAAAATGTTAATAGGACCTAGAATTCTGATGATGTCTTTGAACCTGAGCAAATAAGTTTCTTTTGGTCAAAACAAACAGAACATGAAGGAAAAGTAGTCCTATTGGGTTAAACCAGAGATCCAGTTAGCCCAGTAGCTTTTTCTGAAGTTGTCCAATAACAGATGTTTAAAAGAAAAATTAGAAGAAATATGGTCCTTCCCCTTTTATAACCCCTCTGCTTCTTGAAATCAACAATTCCTATGTCCTGAGTTACATGACAAAAGTGTTAAAAGTTTTCATTGGTTCCATTGCTTGCTAGCTTACCTAATTCCTTTTTAACTTATTTATTTTTTATACAATATCCTGTAATAATGAGCATCAGAATTTAATGATGCATTTATGGAAAGGTACTATCCATTGCCTGATTTAAACTTGAGACCAGAAGATTCTACTGGAGCTCCGTAACTGTGATTCACATTCCCTGTTTTCATATCCATCCTGATTTTGTAGACTTTAATTTCACAAGCCATGGACTGGAGGAGTCCAATGAAATGAGTTAAAAGTGATATAAATATTCTAAATTGCATTTTTAAAAAATGCTGAACTCATTTTCTAGATGAGGTAATGCACCCAAGTTTGGCTTGAAAAAGAGGAACTTTTGGGCCTTTGAAAAGATTATCCTTTAGCTATCCCTGCTAACAGGTTTGTCAATTGTATTGCTGAGTGTTCCTTTTTAGTGAGAGACAAGAAGCTGATCAGCTGCAAATGTCACACCATCTGCAGTACTTTCTTTGTACCTTATCTCTGGGTTTGGGATTAAAAATGAGGCATAAACAGATGAAAATACATAATATTTTTAAAACTTGTGGAATAACTAGACAGTTCATATTTTAAAATCATAGAAAGAAGTTATCTCAAAGAAGTTTTGGCACTATCTCATAAAACATTTACTATAGTTTATTAGGTCTTAAACATTGCTTCTATAGGGGAAGAAAGGAATCAGGGCCAGCAAGATGCTTCAAGTAAAATCATAACAGGATAAACCTTTTACCTGTGCAAAAAACCCCAAGCATTCTCTGTATTCAGTTAAATTTTGTTAAAAAATGCTTCCATGCACATCTCCTGGCCAAATTTAGAAATATCACATAAAACGTTATTCTCCCAATTTCATCTTTAGAGTAAATTCAGATAGTACCACTTGCCCACGTGGTCATGAGCAAAAAGGTGCAACAGATACACAGAAGCCTGATTTTTATCTTGAATTTCAGCTTGATTTCCAAACAGAAGTGTTCTCCAGGGCTTAATGCAGCCCTGTTTATCTGGACTGAATCTCTTCCAGATAAAAAAGTAAAGCATGCGCTGTTAGACAGCTTACACCACTTTTTGAACACTGAAAGAGTAACTGGAAATGCTGATCCGTAAAAAGCACATACATATACGTGTACTCAAACACCTCATTTTACATGCTGATGCTTAATTTAACAGTGAACACTTTTCCCCTCTATGCTCTTTCAAACACAAGCCCTGAAATTATGGGATTTTTTTTTTTTAATAGACAAAAGCAAATTTCAGCAAATACTAACAATAGAAAGTGTGCTCCCAAATGGGTGCAACGGTTGTGGTCTGAAGCAATTTCCTAAACACTGAAACAAACATTGATGTGAGTGGCTGGAAGATTAATGTTACACTGATGACAAAAATGGAAAAACAATTCAGGGAATCAAGAGGTAATTAAATTCTTGACAGACTCACTTGAATAAGGACCATTAGTTATATGAATAAATTATTCCCCTGAGGCTTTGCTTATATACAGGAAATAGACATTGAACAAGTGATTTCATTGGCAATATAAAGCTTATTATCTCCCAAAATAAATGGCAACATTAATTTACAGGGTTGCAGAGAGTGGTCATTTCAAACTAAAAATTGGAGTTCTGACTCCTGAAGAAATGTAATGAGATGAATAAGTCCTTTCGCAATGAAGTTTATATATATTTTATATCAAGTTATCTTCATGTGCAAATAGTATGCAGAGGCTGACCTCTGATTCCACGTACCCTATAAATCTGGAAAACTGGTTTCAGTCAGTGCAATTATTCTGCATTTGCATTGAACTCAGGAACTGTTCTGTAGAGCAGTAACAGGGTAGTATTTGCAAGTTGGAAATATTATTTTGCTGACATGTAGAGGCCTGGGACCCACTGCACTAGGAACTGCATGTTCATGGCAAGAGGAACTTCTTACCCTGCTAATCTGTTACAGTTTAAGTGAAAGGACAGAATAAAGTGGGATAAAGGAAGTAGTAGTATTCCCATTACAGAGGGAAATGAAGCAAGAAAAGATTAAGAATGAGGAAGGGTCCTGCTGAACCACTTGGTTTTGTCCCTTCCTAGCACCTACCTACGACTATGTCCTCTCATCACCCAGTTTTGGCCCTGCCCTGTGTTTTCTGCAGCCAAACAGGACTTTTTGCTAATGGTTTCTGAAGCTCTGTCTCTTGGTTTGCTCACAGAAGCCCTCAGCTGTGAATCCCATGTATGCCAACTGGACTGTTTTCAAAAATAAATCCCCGCAAATGTAATGTCAAGTATTTACTACTGCTACAAATGCAAGCTACACTTCAGCAGAAAAATATACCTCAACAGCCAGGACTGCGGGCATTTCTCATGCATAACTCTTGCCAGCCAGACGGCAACGTACACAATATTAGACATCAGGCTAGTGAAAACTGTTGCCTGTTGGGCACAATAAAGCGTTGCTGCAGAGCGGTAACAGCAGGAAGGCTGTTCTGTCCAGATAGTGCTGGTGGAAGGGAACGTGCGTGTTTTGTGTTGGCTGGCCCGTCGTGCCTGCTGTGAAACACACCTGTGTTCAATGTCTGTCACAACTGCCAAAGCAGAACATCCAAAACCTAAATTTTGCATCTGGGACTCTTAAACTTCCAACTTTTTGTTTGAGATTTAGCAGCTTTTGAAGCCAGGGAACGAACTTACACTTCTTGCCCTATTTCATTAAACAATTATCCGTCTAGATTGGTTTTTAACATCTTTTCTTCTCTATCCATCATTTAACTACATTCACAGCTATCACAGAATGCTCTTTATTTTCTCAGTATCTTCCAATTAGGATGCTCTGTCAGTCAGTATTATTATAAAAAGAATGTTTAATTATTTAGAAGATTATATCATACTATGCTCCTGTCTATATTTCACTATACTCCAGGTCTTGGTTGCAACAATCTAAATACTCCTTATGTCGCTAAAATTTTCTCAACTCTGAAACTCATAAAACAATTACAAAGTGCAATTTCAAAAGGTTTCATTATTTACGTACCCCTTTTGCATCAATTACACCAGGTTTCGCGTTGAATTTCACTGTCTTCAAACGTGCACGCTCCTTTCTTTCAACTCTGGGGAAAACACAAATAAAGAAACACATGTTGATTTTAGCAGCGTTTTGTACAATGTTTGATATCTGATCTCCCAAGACCATTGGTGGCTTACTATGCATAAAGTGAGCATTTAAAGCAAATTTCATAAATTGGAAAGAGAGAGGCATCAGGTCGCTTCCGCAGCCAAGCAGCAGTTTTCAGGCAAACACGGGACTGGATTCGAGGAGCCCTGGCTGTCCTACACCAGCAGAACAGCACTCCGTCCCAACACCCATGGGAGTGCAGTAAAAGCATGTTAAAGACAGATTTACCCTCTCTAATTTAAGCTGTCCAAAAATCAGGCAACATTTAGAGTTCTTCTGTGGTCAGAGGAATGAAACAAGGACAGAGAGAATAAGCTGTTCATCTTGGTGCTTTCAGGTGTGCACTTTATGACGGAATAAATTTCTCTCTGTGCAGGCACATTTTTGTCTTCCTATAGAGGGAACTTTGATTCCCTAGCTTACATAAATTATGAACTTTTAGATCATCCAAATAAGGTAAAACAAATCCCGCTATTTCTGAATCTATTTTTTTTTCTTAAAAAGCCATGGTTTCAGAGTCATGAACTGCTTAAAAAATACCTTAAAATACTTTAAAATTAGCTTGAAATGCCTTACAAAACAGCATGTGACACACAGCCATGGTGAATGGTGTCTAAGCTCCTGGCAAATGCAAAGTAAAAAGGATGAAGTTTCACCTGATGGGTTAAGAAGATGCAAGAAATGGCCGTTGTTGGAAAGGAGAGTCTTTCTCCTTTTCCTCACCACTGTCCCATTTCCCATTGCTCCCAGCAGTGCCCCTCATTGCTGCCTTCTCCACAGCAGAAAAGTAACCACGTAATAAAAGTGAATAGGTTGTAATGGTTTTAAAGAGTTAATCAGCTGACTGAAATGATCCAGCAGCTTGTCTGGGGAAGAGGGGAAGGAGGGAAGCTCCTTTCTCATCCTTCAGAGCAAGCTTTGCCTTGAATCTCAAATAAAAACAGAGAATTTCTTACTAACCTGAGTTTGAGGGAGGTACCTAGAAGATTTCCAGGGGCCAACGTGTTATTGGGCAATCCTTAACAAATGTGTTAGGTATTTTAAGTTTTCTCAAATTACCTCAAATCCATAAACCAACACTCACCATGCACCTGCAGATGGTCTGCCCATAGCTTTGCAGAGCCCTTTGCACATGATCACTGTTTAAATCTTAGGTTCTGCAATACCGACTTTACAATACCACAGATTTTTAAGCGTCTTGCCCTCAGCTCAACTGAAGTAATTTTGAGTATGCTATCACTGGAAAGTTTTTCTTGTTTTAAGAACCTTATTCACAAATGTATTTCAAATTTGTCTTCTGAAAGATGGAGGTGTGCTATTTGTTGCAATATTTAAGTACAGAGAAACTTTCTTGAGGCTTTGATTACTTAAAACTAGACAGTTTTGCCAGAAAGAGCATTTCAGAGGAGATGAGCTCAGGGGCAGAAGAGCTATTTTCAGCTCCTCTAAAACACTGTGAATTGGGTAGATGGTCTTATTTAAACCATACCCTGCACAAACATCTGCAAGCAGATAGAATGAAAAGAATTTGTTTATCTGACTCATTTCAGTGAAGACCTCATTGTGAGTGGGTAGTTCTGAAAACAAAGATGGAGAGGTTCGCATTACAAAAAAGCGTGGCCAAACAGGAGAGGACACAAACGATACATTTCAGGGGTTTTTCTTTGGGCTGGTTCTTGTCTGGCCTCATGAACTGACCACCCATTAGCAGGTGGATGCTTTGGGTGAGCTCATCTTCAAGAGCAGTTTAATACAAATGAATCTAGTATGCGTTCACCAAGACTGTCACACGAGATGAACCGAAGTGCTGAAAAGGAGGGCAAAAAGGACATGTGCTTTGAAAGCTCAGTCCTGATCTGAGCTGAAAAACCAGAGCACGCAGCCCCTGTGAGCCCACCTCCTGGGGCCTTAGGGCCCAAACTGCAGTGTGGTATGACTCAAAACTTGGCTTAGTCTGTACAGTTCTGGTATTCATATATTTAAAGTTGAAATGCTCCAATGAAAAGCCTCACAAGTTATTTGGTCCTGATATCCATAGCTTCAGTAAACACAGCTTGAGAGAGGCGTTGTTATATTGTATGTGCAATGCCTTCAGAGTGAGAAAATACTGAGATCGAAAAAATTCTCTTTGAGAGAGAAACACATATCAAAATCATTGGCAACGAGCTGATGCCAGACAAATTAATTCTAATGAAAACACAGACAGTTTCACTTTTTAATGCTTAATATGTTTAGTTACTGAAATAATATAGAAGAGGAATGCGTGGCATCTTGATCCATTCGTATCTTAAAGACTGAACAAACGCAAGTTACAGTCCTCAGTATAGAGGGAAAAAAGAGACACACAAGGCATTTATAAAGGACATCGCACTAGATTTCTGTTCCTAAATATTATGGGTCAATAACCTGAATTCCCATTATTCGATGAATGAGCATTATTTTAAAAATCTGTTGGTAAAACTTAAAATCTATTAGCATACTGAAATATATGCAGTAAATATTTTACCTGTGGGAAAACTATATACCCTTAGTATATTTGCAAAGTTCACCATTACTACAAGATTTACATATGTTATATATTTAAACTTTTAACACAGTATGCTTAAATAATAATGCTAGGAATTAAAAAAAAAAAAATCTAAGAAGGAGTGAGCTCTCCCCTAAACAAAATCAACCCCTAAGAAAACAGGTGCAGAGAGAGAAATTTAAAGAAAGGAAGAAGCTATTCATGTCCTTACTCACCTTGACTAATATGGTCATTACTGTAAAAGTGACATTTACTACCTTTGCAAAATCATCTACAGAATCTGTCATCTACTGGCCCAACCAAAAAAATCTGATCATCTACCTATAATTGAAACAGTAACTCTATTTGTCTAAGATTAGGAATTGCTCTAGGAAATCTAAGGAGAATCCTGCAAAGCTAGCTTATAAGAGCTCAATATTATATTTTTATTAGACAATAAATAGCTGGGAAAAAAATGAGGTTTATTATAGCCTCCAGATTGGTCCAGATATGACCCTTTTTCTAACTTTCACAGTTTCCCACAAATGACATTAGAATACATTCCTGCAAATCTCTTGGTTTCTAAGTCTGGGTAGTAAGAATATCTAGTTTCAGATAATTATTTTTTAAAAAACACAAATCCTAGTCTTTTGATAGAATGATAATTAACACAACATGTTTCCTTCTGTCTGAGTGGGCTTATATATTTCCTACTGAAGCACAGTGAATGCTGGTTACTATAGTTACAGTTTAAATTTAGAATAAATGCATTTCTCTGTAAGTGTGGAATATTCACATGGAAACAGCTCAAATGCAGCTTTCAAATTAAATCTATGTTATTAAAAACACATGAACAGTCTTCAACTTAAGCTAGCAGATGAAGTCCCTTGATAGTACCGGTAAGAAATGAAGACTTGAGGCTGTGTAATTGCCTAAATAGGATGGATGCCTTCTGAGAAAATAATTAGCTCAAATGAACACAGTATTCCACTTATTAATCTGTGTTAACATTTAAACTCATTCCAGTCCTGTCTAACTTCCTAAAAGTTCTGCTTTTAACTTCATTTCTTATTCACTGCGTAAAGAAATTTGGAAATTAACCCCGAAGAGTGGATCTTATTTATGAAATTCATCATCTAATTGCATTAGCAGCCATGGAGGCATCGCTGCTTTCTACAGGCATAGCAGACAGATGAGAAGCTGCAGAAACATTCTGCATTGCTTTGAGAAGTATATAAATAATGTCATTAAGTGCCATTAATCCTCCAGGCAAACATACCAACAATGTTCATACATGCTCAGCATGCCTGCTGAATATTACAAACATTTGATAATCTGGTACTGTATTAAGTACTGTACACAGTGTTGCCTCCCATTACAATTTTCCTGACACCTTCCACAGTAAAACTGTTCTCAGTTACTTATAATTTAGCTGAACTGTAAACTTCCAAGCTGAAATTTCATGTGTCTCAGGGTGATTACATTGCCGTTGCTGCCCAAAGTGTCAATGAGTTAGCTGTCAGAGAAAGGCTAGGATAAAATAAATGGTTTTGCCCAGTTTATAATACACTCTTAAAGCACTTCAGCTCAGGTGCTCTACTGCCTTCATGTCTTGGGTCTGGGACTTGAAATGTGGCAGTGGGTTGCTCTGGTATCATGAATATACCTCTCTTTTTCCTGAAGGAATCAACCCAATATCTGAATGTCTGAAAAGCTTTGGTTTTTACATGCTCTGGAGAGCTCTGTTAGCATTAAATTGGTTCTCCAAAGATTTAGCCTTTGTTGAAGTGGTCAGAGTGCAGGACTGCAGTGAACTAAGATGTTCCCGTAATTTCTTATCTGAGCTACTGGGACACTTTTGCCATAGACAGAGCTAAAAAGGTAACTAAAATGAGGGAGACAAAAAGTATGGAATATCAGTTCTTTGAGCATCATTCATCCAGCTCTTAGAAAATGCATCTTAATTATTTTTTAAAAGGAACACTAATTCAAGCACTTTTAGTACTTTTTTGAATCTTCAGTTTTGTAATTGCTACATTTAAAGAAAAATAAACTTGACCCCCTTTTTCCCCAAGACAAAGGGAGTTTAGGCACAAAAAGCCTTTTGCAGCAGCTGACATTTGAATGCCTAAATAGCACACGAGTGTAAATGCTTTACATTGCTTTAGCCAACAGCAAACCTACCATCCCTTGGACAACATTTTGCTTAATCAGCTGAGGAAATTGCTTTTAATGGAAGAAATGTTTCATTTCAGACTGTATCCATTTTTCATTCACTGCTGCTGCACAAAGCAGGATTATGGGGGTTTGTGCAAAAAATAAAGTGAAGGGAGAGGATTGCCATCTGCCAAATTTTCAGAGGCCCAAATTTGCAGCCCTGACTTGCCTGATATAGACATTGCTCCCATGCCCCTTTCTAATTACGTATC